CACATGAAAGAAATAAAAGAAGACTAAACCCCCGCCTCCCCAGTCTTCTCCCTTTCTCATTATTTATGCTACTTACGTAAGTCAGCAAGGCCTATTATTTAACCATCACACAGTCTGGCTTTGCATCTCCACCCCACACACACTTTAGCTATATGACCTTGTATGAGCCACTTACTTCTCTAGGGCCATTTTGCCATATGTGGATAATGAAAGCACCCATATCCAGAGTTGTTACACGATGGTGAGTTGAGATGGAAAACACGTGTCAAGTGATGAGCACAGTGCCCTGTGCACAGACAGTGAGTGCTAAATGTTGGCTGCTGTAATGTTGAGGCCAGCAATGAGGCTGGGATGGTGGTGGTAAGCAGACCCACATGTCATAAGCAGACATTCCAAGGAAGCTGTCATGAGCCAGGATCTTTCTCAGACCAAGGGTTCCCAGGGAACCGCTCGTGATGTTGCTGCCTGGGGTAACAGGAAGGAACTGAGGCAATTATACAGTATGCAACAGAAATGATTTCATTTCTAATGCCTTTCTCCTGCTGGGCCACTTAGACCCAAACAATAACAACAAGGCGGAACTGGGAACAAGCAAGGCAGGCACTTTCTGGAGGAGCTTGGTGATGAATAGATGGGGCCCCAGGACTCATTTTTGTCTCTCAGACATCTACAGCAGAGAGTTCCCTGGAGCCACAGCTGCAGTTCTGTGCTGATAGGCAGTGCCTTGGGCCACTGGAGACTAATGCCTCTCCATGGGAACAAGCTGACATCATTCCAGGGCTCCGGGGAAGTCAGGGGTCCTCCCTTCTCTCCCTTCTCTCCTTTCTCTCTGGGCAGAGAGCAGACTTCCCATTTTGTCTCCTGGGAAAAGTGGAAATCCTTGCAGGTGACCTAAGATTATGACATAATTGCTTGTGTTCAGTGCACTCTTAATGTCACCTTGTTCTGGGAGCCCCTGCAAATGATTTTCCTCTGCTCCTACCTTTAAACACACACACACACACACACACACACACACACACACACACACTGACACATAATCTCCAAAATGCTCCAATCAACTTAACTTTCAGGTCTCTTAGTTTGGGGCATTGCAGAAATACAGCCTCTTCTATCCAAGAGAGACAGGGAGTCCCCAGGCTCCAGTGACTCATTTCTGGCTCCTCCTTGTACACTGGAGCAAACAGGAGCCTGGGCTCCTCTGAAGAAGAACACCTTCGTGCCTCCTAGGGAGAGAATAGAGCACTCTCTCCCATGGGAAGCTTGTCTGCCATGGGTGTCAATTTAACCCATTTGTCAGATTGAGGTAAAGGGGAAAAATGAGGCAAAGCCCCTGTTTTCCAAAAGGCAAGTTTCTCTTTCTCTGGACTCATCTGTAAACCAAGTGGCCAAGTCTTGGTTTTATGTCCCTCCATCACCACATATTGACACTGTAATGAAGGTATTTTTCAAGTCTATGCATTTAGATAATATGATTCAATTATACTTTTAAGTAAAAAAAAAATCTTCAGTTAGACTGATGATGGGAAAAAGCGAGAGGCAGGGAATTTTAGCCCTGGACTCCAGCATTCTTAGAGGTCCTCTTAGAGTGATAGCATTAGCCTCACTACCCAAAAGTGGTGAATAAATAGCTTCCACATACCCAGTCTCTTCATAAATTATCATGGAAATCTTGGGGATGCATAGGCTCCAAAACAAGCCATAGCATCCTGCCTTGGGCCACAAGATGCCTTTTGTGGATTATAGGAAAAGAACATGAGACTAGAATTCCTCCAATTAAGTAGAAACACAGGCACAGAGGAGAGCTCCTGGTGAGAAGCTGAGCCAAGCTGTTTCTTTTCTAGTGTCCATGGTTTTGACACATTTCTTATATGACCAGGAGTGTCCCTGTCAAGCAGAGCACCTGGTAGGATTGAGACACTTTGGTCAACACGTCGAATCAGAGAGTCCAGGAACTGGGAACCTGACACTACTCTTTTGGGAGAGAGTAATAAGAGGAGACTCAGTATTAGGGGGCAGTTGTCTTGTTTTGGAACAAGGTCATCTAGGATGACCTCCAAGGAATCCAAAGAACCTAAGATTCTAAGGTCCTATTACCAAATATCTGAGAGAAATATGGATGACTGGGCCATATTCTAAGTTTTCTCCAAGACCTAAAACCTTAGGCGAAAGTGAGCAGTTGACACATGATTCTGGGAGTTTACAACTATGGCTTCCTAAAAATCACAGCTTGGATTCTCCATAACCTGTGAAGGTGAAAAAACACCTTTCTTGCTCAAGTTTTGTAGCTATTAACTATGAGAGACAGCCAGAGAGAGAGAGAGAGAGAGAGAGAGAGAGAGAGAGAGAGAGAGTAGGTGAGAAAATGAGTCTCTGGAGGAAGGAAGGTTGGCTCAAGGTTGTCTCATACATCATAATCTACCCATGTGTTCATGTATGTATGCATGTTTGCAGCACACATGCTACACACACACACACACACACACACACACACAGTATGACCTTCACAGCCATGCTTTGTAGTATCTGAGTGCAGCTTTCACTAGCATGGGAGACGAAGACAACACTCTCCAAGAGAGTCCATGTGTCTTTCCCTTTGTCCTTGTTTCTCAGAGAACAGTGACATGAGACCTATTTGGCCTCAGCAGATTGATATTTAAAGCAATATTTAAATATTTAAAGCTCCCCCTCCCCTGCTCCCCCTGGTATCAGAGGAAAAGCTGAGTTTCTCTCACATCGAGGTTCTTCTAAAGTATTCTCAAGATTACATTTGCATGTTATAGACAGAAATAATCCAACTTGGAAGGTAGAGGACCTTCTAGTTTATGGAGCAAAGAATCAACAGTGGAGTTAGGGGGTCATTGCCAAGAGAGCATGAGTGGCTACCAGCCTTGGGAAGCATGACGTGCTACTAGGCTGAACTAATCTTGTCTTGGCATTTCAAGAGCAGTTGTGCTAGCAGAAAAGACCATCACTCACAAAATGAGGTGGGAAGGAGGCACACATTAAGCTGGCTTTCAGAGAAGATAGTATTTACACAAGGCTATCTGCATCCATATTGCTGAGTCTTAGAGAGAGGAAATTGCATTGCACCTTTGGTCCCAGTAAAGGGACTAAATCAGGTGGATGGTTCTTCCACCCCAGACCCGTATTTGAAGAATTTAACATGATTAACTTTAGTAGACAATGTGATAAATGAGAGACTTTAATTTGTATCCATTAAAAATGTGCACAGACTCTCTTGGAAGCCTGAGTTTCATAAGAGGTGACTTCTCCAAATCATAACTATAGATTTGGTAAAACATAACATCATGGGCCTCGACTTTAGATTCTAATTCAGCACTTTATTTGGTAAAGAAGTAAAAATATGCATTTTAACCAGCTTTCTGGGTGATTCAGGTGCAGAGGCATCTTTGCAACCCCTTAGGGAAATGCTGCCTAGGACCTCGACAGCAGACCACAGTCTTCACTTTCCAGTCAAGGAAGGTTGATGGAACTCAGAGCATTCTTTAGAAGACCAAAGCTGAGAAATACCGGTAATGTATCTCAATAGTGGAGCAGTTGCTTAGTGCATACAAGACCCTGGGATTGATTCCCCAGCTCTACAAACAAGCAAGAGGACCACAGCCAGGAGGTCCCCCTTATTTCTGGGTCTAACCCTCCCAAATATCTTCCCTATTCCACACTTGGTTTCAGAGATTTTATCAAAGCCCCAAGAAAACAGTTTAGCTGTGCATTTGTAAACATGAAACAGCAAAGTGGAAAGATGAGACCCAGCAAATCAGCTTCCCGATTCTCTTGAAATTGGTTGCATTCACTTAGGCCGCTCTCTGCCCACCCTCATCAAACAACAGCACAGGGAAAGATGAAAAGACTGCTTTCTCAAGTAGCCCCAATGCTGCAGGATGAATCAAGCATAAGCACAGTATTTGCATCTGAAGCACGGTTGGGGGAAAACACTGAACATCTAGTTCCAAGGAGAGAACCAAGAATTGGCTTAAAAGATTTGTATCCTGGTCAGAATCCATAGATTTTTTTTAGTGTGCCTGAAGGACCCTGGAAGGGAGTCTACAAACTGGCTTGCGCCTCATCCAGCCTGAGCCCCAGAACAGAAAGCAGCTGGGTGCCCAGTGAGGAAATGATGACTGCCAAAGCAGCTTCCCCGTTCCTGAGAACAAGGGCCTATCCCCAGGGAGTGACAGCACCATGCCTTGTGTCCATGGCAAAGCCTGTTGTGTAGATGGCAACGCACTCTCTTACCTCTGCTCCTCAAGAGGACCTCACAGGCTGCCCATTGCAAAAAGGGACGGAGAAGCGCTCTGCTTGACGCTGAGAGAAGCTTCTCGTCTCTGCATAGGGACTTAGTGAGGGCTCTTGATCCATCCCAAAGCTGGACAGTCACCCTCTGCCACTGTCCCCTGCCTCCACTGTCCCCTGCACTCCCAAGGAGAAATGGGTCTGAAATCTCCAGCCTTCTTCCAGACTGCTTGACAGAGAAGCTAACAGAGAACGGGGTTTCAGCACCGAGGACAGAGGAAAGCCTTTAGGTGGAAGGTTGCTCCAGGAAGCAGCCTCTCTGTCCAGCACCCTTTCAAAAGTCCCAGGATATCAAAAACAACCCTTCTTCCTTTGGGGTGGTGGGAAACTCTGGCGCGCACCTGAGGTCCTAGTCTTGGATACCAGGAGGACAGCGATTTACCAAAATTCTCGAAGGTCAGCCAGCCTCCGAAGCATTAAGATACACTCCCTGGTACCTAGGATAAGGACTCCCACCCGGACAGCGCAAAGGAAGCTAAGTAGAAAGAAGAGGGGATGGTGTCGCCAGGGGTGCAATCTGCCCGACTAAGGCTCAGTGGAAAGGGTACTCCGGGACAGGCGGCGCTAGAGTGGCCCGACAAACTTCTGTTCCCGGCCAGTCAGCTCTGGACGCTCCCTCTCCTCTCCCTGCGACTCTTGTAGAGGCCACGGACGGCTTGTCGCTCCATCCCGCCGGTTCTTACCTTCAAGCCATAGGAGGCCCGGGGGCAGAGACGGCGCCGGCTGCTCGAGGCTTCCGGCTCCCGCCGCATCCACGCACGGCCGCCCCTCCGGCAGCCGTCCGGGGCCGCCGGTCCCCTCCGCGGGTCCCTCGGCTCCCGGCCCCGCCGCGCCGTTCAGATCCCCGGCGGGCAGCCGCTCGGCCGGCTCGGGCCCGCGGGGAGCAGTGGACGGGCCGCGGCGGGGCAGGGCGAGGTGGGCCGGGAGGGTGGGAGCGCAGCGCGGGGACCAGGCGCGGAGGCGGCCAGGCGGCGCTGCGTGCCAGAGGCGACCAGCTCCAGCACTGAGGCTGGACAGCTCCGCGGAGTCAGAGCGCGGCGAGCGCGGGAGGAGGGGGCGGGGCCGCCCTGGCCACGAGGCGCCCAGGAACCCCGCCCCTGGGACAGGCCCCACCCACCCAGGGCCCCAGCGCTATCTCTTGTACTATGGTACCTGGGGAAGAAACCCCAGAGAGCTGAGAGCTGAGTACTGAATAGCCTGAACTCCGGACCGCCCATCAGTGTCCCCCTACACTCATCAAGTAACATCTTGTTCTTCAAAACCTTCTCTGGCCCAGCATTCCCAACACCAGCCGGTAGATCCCTCCTTTGAGGATCAGGGACATAGGCTGGGCAAAGCCATGCATACCTATAGTACATCAAGTCTTTGAAGAAGAAACAGATTCTGGAAAGGTGTCCAGGGTCCAGGTACAGGCCTCAGGTCTGAAAACCACAGCGACTAGTCCTGCTGCTGTGCTTTCCCAGAGGAAGACCTGGGCAGATGGAAGTAATAAAGAAGGCCCTGGGAGCTCCAGCTCACCCTTGCCTCGGTGAGGTGTGTCCAGGCACCTGGAGGAGGAAGAGAAACACGATCTTCTTCAGCCCTGCTCAGGATCATTTCCCACCCGGGAAACCTATTCCCCTTTCCATCCTCTTTCTCTTGCATCCTTTTCAGCAGTTGGTGCTGTCTGTCATGTCTATGTTGGCCTCTTAGTCAGACTGAGAAGTCACAAGGGTCAATTCAGAGTAGAGACGTCCTAATACTGTGGCTTAAACAGGTCCTGTGGAGAACCAAAAAAGAGACCTCATGGAAACTGAGCACTGAAAAGCAATGCAAAGCCCCAAGGAGGTGGCACAGAATTCCAACCACAACAAAGGACTGTCTGCATACAGCAGGGAGTCAACCCTGCACAGCTAGAGTCATGCCACTTAGCCACAAAGAAGAACCCACATAATTCTAGAAAATCAGGACTGGGAAAACACCTTGATATTCAATTAATCCCTGTTTGGTTTAGAGGTGGATAGTGGGACCCAGGGCGAAGATGTGCCCTTCCAAACTCCACAGGGACTGAGCAGTGGAAAAGTCCCTGTGTGTGGCACATTTTCCTTAGGCCAACTATGGAGACATTTGGAGGAGGGGGAACTGAGTGACATTATATTCCAGTATGGCTGTCTATGAAGACAGTCAAAGGAGGGAAAACTCTGAGTGGGCATGATGTACCCTCCCTTGCCCCTGTTCATTATTCTATAAATATAGCCTTTTCCCTGCTCTCCTTTAGGCTTAGTAGAGAAGCATTAGGAGCACCAGAAACATTAGAGTTTTTCACATTTGCTTTTAAGGCACTCAAACATTACAGATATGGTTGGATCCCCGCTGGTTCCCTGTGTGCCCTTGGCATGTTCTTCTCAAGAAGTAACACACTTAAGGAGGGATTTGGTCCTTCTCAACCTCTGTGTAGTTTCACCCAGCCTGGAGTCCTGCCTCTGTCACTCACCAGCCATAGATGTTGCCTAAGTAGTTTAATCTCTCTGGGTCTCGGTGTTCACATCTCTACATTGGCGCATTCAATGCTTATTTCTCTGGGATGCGTTGAGGATAAGAGGTAAACTCTCACACATGAACTATAATGAGCACCCTGGCTGCTCTTGGGTGGGAAGGTTAGTTTTTCTGGTTGAGGAGGCAGAAGCAGGATCGATGTGACCTCAGGGAAGAGGCCTGCACGCAAGGACAACACACCTCCTCATGCCTCTTTTGCCCACATTGTGCATGCCCGAGCGATTTCACGCTGGCTGTGAGTGAGACGGATGGATCTTTTAGTTTTCAATTAGCGAGTGCCTTGCTTTTTAAACAAGCAGTGCAGCAAGCAGATGCTCTGAGTGATTGATGGCAGGGAACATATGTGGCCAGGAAGTGGCTGCACCAAAGCCTCAGCTTCCTGGCTGCCAGGGCCCTCTGGAGGTCATTCAGTGCCTTCCCTAACACCAGAAAGAAGTGGACCCGATCCAAGTAGGTCAGGTGGGAGCAAGATGCCCCCTTTTTCTCATGTGCTTTCTGGAAAGGGGGTTCAATCATCTTTTTTTAACTCCTTAATTGTATGCTACAGAGCTTGGGGGTTAAGATGTTCTACCCCATATGCCTTCTAAATCCTTAATTTCTCTCTACCTTTGGCGTTATGGGGGAAAGGTATATGTGCACATTCATGTGGGCCTGTGCCTATTAATGCCAGAGGACAACATCAGATGTCTCCCTCAGTCTTTCTCCACCTTATTTCTCACTGTATCAAAGCTCATCAATTTGGCTAAGCTGGCTAGCCAGTGACCCACCTGTCCCTGCCTCCCCAGTGCTGGGAATATAGGCCTGAGCTGTTGGCTCTGCTTGTCTCTGTGTCCTGGGGAATCTAGGCTAGGGCTCTCATGTCTGTGTTATGATCACCTTATTGACTGAAATGTCTGTGAGGTCTAAGTTCAAGGTGCTGGCAGATTCAGCATCTGGTGTGGATCTGCTTTCCAGGAAGGCTATGATGGCACTCAGCTGAGTCAGGGGAATGGAGCAAACAATGAGTTTGGCCTTTTGTGCTTGGTTGTTTCTGTTCTAGTACAGAAACCCCTAGAGAGGTGCACTGTTCTCAGCCCTCGATGGAAAAGCCTAGTGAAGATAGTGATGGTGGGCTAGACTAATCACTTTGATGGGAAAAAAAGAAGAAGAAAAACCTCTTCCAGAAGGACAGCCGTTCAGGGCACCAACACAGGAGAACAGTTACCTGAGAGCTTTGACAGCTGTGTGTGAAAGTCACCTGTACAGACCAATTTCCTTAAAAGCGGATTCTAATGGAGCTTTGCACCTCACTGTGAAATGGACATTTGTAAATGTTTCTTGCATCCTTCTAATGATAAACAGTAAAGACACAGGTGTGACCCACTTTAAGAAATTCAGCTATACAACTCCTCCCCATTACAAAACAGTAGCTCCCCATGTAGTTTATTTACTTGCCTTGTGGAAAGGAGTTGTGAAAGTATATGATTTATTTATACATCCATGCTCACAGGAATAGTATTTTCAGCAGATGACTCTTAACTTTCTTCCTGAGGGTGTTCAAATACTTGGGCTGGCCTTGAAGTTCTCATATAGATGAAGATGACTTTGAACAGCAAATCCTATTTCCTCTACTCCCAAAGTACTTGTATTATAAAATGTCTGCTTCTCATGCTTGTTTCGTGTAGTGCTGCAGTTTGTTTGTTTTTGTTAATTAATTCAATTTACATCTCCGTCATAGGTCCCTCCCTCCTCTCCTCCCAGTCTCACCTACTCTCCTCATCCTCCCTCCCCCTATTTCCTCAGAAGAGGGGAGCCCCCCTATCTAAGTTTATCTGCTCACATGAGATTAAGTTCATCTTCCTTCCCTGTGGCCCTGGTAGGGCAGTCTCAACAGAAGGAAGGGGGTAACATAGTCCATATCAGAGATATCCTCCACTCCTCAGACTATTGGGCTCACATGAAGCCTAAGCTGCCCATCGAATCTTTATAAGTAGAGGACCTAGGTCCATGCATTGTCTTTGGTTGGTGCTTCAGAATTCCTAGGCCCCTCTGGGAGCAGGTTGATTAGCTCTACTGGTCCTTGTTTCCACTCTTCCACCATTACCTCTATCTAGTCTGTTTCTCCATCTCATTGAGATTTATGTGTCTTCCCTAGGGTCTTCCTTGTTACTTATGTTTTTGGGGTCTGTACATTGTAGTATGTCTATCCTGTACTATATGACAAAAAGTCACGTATAAGTGAGTACATACCATGTGTGTCTTTCTGGGTCTGTGTTACTTCACTCAGGATGATCATTTCTAGTTCTATCCATTTGCCTGCAAATTTCATAATTTCCTTGGTTTTAATGGCTGAGTAGTATTAGGTTGTGTAAATGTATCATTTATACAATTTATCCATTCTTCGGTTGAGGGACATCTAGGTTGTTTCCAGTTTCTGACTATTACAAATAAAGCTACTGTGAACATGCTTGATCAAATGTCCTTGTTGCATGGTGGAGCATTTTTCGGCTGTATGCCCAGAAGTTGGGTCTTGAGGTATGGCTATTTCCATTTTTCTGAAAAAGCGCCAGATTGATTTCCAAAGTGGTCGTACAAGTTTGCACTCCGACCAGCAATAGAGGTGTGTTCCCCCTTTCCCACATCCTCAACAGCATTAGTTGTCACTTGAGTTTTTGATCTTAGCCAAATACCAACACAGTTTTTCACAGACCTTGAAAGAACAATTCCAAGCTTCATATGGAAAAACAAAAAACCCAGTATAGCTAAAAAAAAACAAAAAAAAAAGCATTCTTATACAAATATTAGAATTAGAAATGGAGGTTTTTCCATACCTTACTTCAAGCTATACTACAGAACAATAGTAACAAAAACTGCATGGTACTAGCATAGAAATCGGTTGGCTGATCAACGGCATCAAATTGAAGACCCAGAAATAAACGCACACACCTATGCACATCTGATTTTAACAAAGAAGCCAAACAGACAACATCTTCAACAAATGGTGCTGGTCTAACTGGATGTTTACATGTAGAAAAATGCAAATAGATTCATATTTTTTGCCCTGCACAAAAAGTGAATCAAAGACCTTAACATAAAACCAGATACACTAAATCTGCTAGAGGAGAATGTGGGTAAGAGCCTAGAATTCATTGGCAGGAGACAACTTCCTGAACAGAACACCAACAGCTCAGGCTCTAAGATCTACAATTAATGAGTGAGACCTCTTG